ATGTGCACTTGTGCAGTATACTGGCTCTCGTGATACTCTTGAGAGAAAGCCACAACCCCTTAAGAAGTATGTATATAATCCAGAATTGTGCTTTTCTTGTCACTATTACACTTATTTAGAATGGTTATCTGCTATGTCACAGCCCTTGGTTGAACACAATTAAATGAGTTTAAGCCTTCAATAAGATAAAATGCCTAGGTCCATTAATGTTACTTTAGTTCATAGTTTTTCTTCTGAAAAATCTAACTGATCTATCTTGATTCCAGCCCTGCCATGCCTTCTAAGGCTTGTGTTCAATCAGCTCTACCTCAAAAGACAGAAATCAGAGGTTGGAACTCAGTAAAAGCAGAACAATCTACCTTTATTGGAAGGCCATCCTTTATTCCCAAAAAGGTGCTCTATTAATCTCTTAAGATAACTTTGTAGCTTTCTGAAATCCTCTATTATTATTATGAACACAGGTTAACACAGGTTCTCAGTAAGCCCTTCTCATCCTGATTCCTGAATTTGCAGTATATTGGCTCCTGTGATGTTCCAGAGAGAAAGCTACAGCCCCTTAAGAAGTATGAATAATGCAGAATTCTATTTTGTTGTCATTGTTGCACTTATTCAAATGGTTATCTGTTTTTTCACAGCTCTTGGTTGAATACAATCAAATGTGTTTTTCGGCCTCCATTGAAATAAAGTTGTTGCCTAGAGTTTGCTTTTCTTCAAGGCAATAGTTACTGGAACTTTAGTTGTTAGTTTTTCTTCTAAAAATCTAACAGATTTATCTTTAATCCAGCCCAGCCATGCCTTCTAAGGCTTGTGTGCTATCAGCTCTACCTCCAAAAATGGAAATCAGAGGTTGGAAATCAGAAAACGTGGAACAATCTATGTTTATTGGAAGGTCAACATTTAAGAAGAACAAAGGGAAAGGAATTTCTTTTTCTTGTGCTCGGCAGGTAATTCTTGAGTCTCCTATTTTTCCTGCCCACCTTCCCCCAAAACATAAAGATATATAATAGAATTAGACATCCAGCCCTGTCCTTGCATGCTTTCTGATTGAGAAATACTGGCACATTTGAACATTCCAAGGTGATTATTGGCATGATATTAGGAGTTGGACTACCTGAAATTCTTTAAACCTACATGACTCAATTTAATTTTATACTTATCTGCTGCACGAAATTATGAAATGTTCGTTATTCATTCATTTGGATAAATTAATGCAGGAAGGAGAATGTAGAGTTATAATTGAATCAGATGAAGAAACTGATGAAGGATTTTCCTGCTTTTTTGGAGAAAAGGAAAGAGGTACTTGCCAAAATAAAAATATTTTAGGAATCTATTTCTTCCATTATTTCTATTCATGTTTAAAAAAAAGAGTCTGCTGTGCAGATATTTCGGTTATTGTGATAAATTTGGGCTTTTATATTATAACAGTCATTAGCTGATATTCAACATAAAATAAGGCATTCCTGAATGATTTCATTTTCAATGTATCTAGGATAACACTAGTTTGAAAGCATGCAAGCTACCTAATTGCACCATCAACTACAGAGTGCAGACAAAAAAACCCAATTATTACTTAGTTTACATTTGTTGCTATAGATTCGTTCCAATTATATTTTGTTTTGCATTTTCCTTTGGTAGATACAACCATCAGTTTGTCACAGGAGGCAAAGGAAGAGACTGATCGAATCCTGAAGAGAGCAAGGAGACAAAAAAGAAAGTACTCTAATCCTATAATTATTAATTGAAGGTATGCATGTTGGGATATGCCTCTCTAGCTTGGCTTTATGCTTAATACTGCTCAGCACAAATTTTTTAAGCTGACTTTAAAATTTCCGTGATATTAAACCACATCATCGGACTAGAAAATCAGGAAAAAAAAAAGAAAAAGAAAGCATGTTTGTCTGGTTTGGTTAGGAACTACGAGGAGGATGCTATGTCATTGTGCTAGAATGTATTCCATTTCTGTCCTAAAGCTATGAAGCATAAAACATGTATCTGTCTTGCAAACTGATATGACTGAATAACCATTTTGATAAACCTCCACTAGCCCGTGTACTGCACGTTCCCCTTACAAAGAAAAACAAACAAACTGGACCTTGTATTTGTTGTCCTTTTGGGCTTTGGACTGATAAGAATGAAAAAAATGCTTTGGTTGTGGCAGTTTAGGGCTTTAAGGTACTTTATTTAGACCTTAGATTTCAGACTAGCAAATGGGCCTAATTCTGTCGGTCGGATCTTCTATCATCAAGTCCTTTTCGTCGGCTTTGACCATTATATAACCGACAACGCGATTCCTAACACCACCATTGGAGTATTTAATTATTTTTTTAATCGAATATTTAACTATTTTTTATTCCTTTCATTACTGTGGCCAAGAGAAAGAGCCCTCCAACTAAGCACCAAAGGAAATTCCCGGATCCTTCCCTTTCTGATAAAAGTTTTTGTCTGATTTTTCAAAGGGCTGTTTACAGGGCTAATCGCCTAATCCCCGATAATGATTAGATAGGTAGAATGTTGTTTGCTTTGGGCAATGCCTTTGTTTGGTTCTCTAACAAGACAGCTATATTGTGTTATAAGATTCAAGGCATATAAACTGTTTTACGAAGTACTCTTCTTTCAATGATATTGACCCCCAGATAAGCGTTTCGTTCATTTCTTTAATCATTTTATGTTTCCACTTTCCTCCAAACTTAGCCTATCTACCAAAGTAGGTCCCAACCCGGCCGCACCTCGAAGCGAAATCCAGCCAATTGCCCCAGGTTAAGGGTGTTTAATAATGTTTTGGTTTTTAGTTTTGATTACTAAAATTTAAATAATTAAAAGTTAAATAAAATTTATAATTTAATTGGATAGAAATTTAATGACTATAATTTAATTTTTTTAAAATTTTATTAAACTTTTGAATTTTAATTTATAGTTATTAAATTTTTTAGGATTTTTTAAATTGTACTTGTAGGACACAAATTAAAAATATGATTAATATATTTTTTAATCATTAATTTATACAAAAATATAAAATTAATATTAATTTTAATATCAATATCATGTATCTTAATTTAATTGATTAATTATTAAAATTAAAATATATTCTTTTTTTATAACTTAATGACAAGAAATATTTTAATTACTTCTTTAACTTCTACTTTTAAAACGTGTTAAAAAACCTAATTTTTAACAACAAAAACAAAAAGTCAGAAACAATAATGATACTATATATGCCTTAATCGATTTATTTTTTTTAATAATCATTATTTTATAAAAAAATAAAAGTATCAGAGCTTAAGTCATGCAAGGATGGAATAAATAAATAAATTAGAGAGGGTTACCAACATAAGAAAAATAAAAAAAACTTTGTGGAATGTGAAAATTGATTGTTATTTGTAAGCATAAATCATTTGATAAGTCATGATTCCACCGTCCTTTCTCAGGATTGGCCAACTCATTACTTAATTGATTCATAATTAAACATCTAATCTTTGTATGCTTTCTTGAGTGTAATCCAATATGGACTTTATTTCTCTCCATATTGGATCTGAGTTGGAGTCCTTCAAAAGTACTCTTAAGGAAGAACTCTGCATGTTCAAAAAGCAGAAGCATCCAATGCTTTAAAGTCATAGGCTGGTTCTTAATGGGAATATCCAAAGCTTGGTCTTCAAAAATTAGCCTACCCACCACTTTAACTGCTATAGGGAGTTACGGCCAATCAACTAATAATTCAATTGTACTTATTTTGGGGGGAGTGATATTAAGGAATTAGAAATTTTATTTAAATTGGAGTTGAATAAAATCAGAGGGTGCACGACCATAGTAATTGAGTTAAGGGAGGCAATTAGTATTATTTAGTTTTCCAGCATTAGTTGATGAACGTTCCAACCAACTTGATAAACAAACCACTCCAAACATGATGTTTCTCAACTTCCAACCCAATTAAAGATTAGTTGCCTTTTTTTGTATTTTTGCTAAGAATTGAGACAAATATTCATTAGATACATCATTTTTGATATTTTTGTGCCTGACGCCTGAACTTTTACATAATAAGCCACCAACTTTAGTTCTAAAATTGAATATTACAATCTATTGACCTAATCTGATAATTTAATCCGAACCAACAATGTCCTATTTCAGATTAGATATCCTAATAATTTATTGTATAACATCATTTCTTCGTAAACTTATAGCTCGTACCCAACGGACCCATATATCATTCCCAAGTTTGGCAACTAATAAGCAAGACATTTAAACAGCCATGCATAATTAGTTAGTTTAGATAAGTTTAAAATAAAGAACCATTAAGCAATGATAATTTAATCTTTGCTTTCAAAACAAGGGTGAGCGTTAAGGGAAGGGTCATTGTTTTTATCGCCAGAGAGCATTTCTGCATCCTTAGCAAGCAGGTGAAAAATTAAATGGCTGAAAATGAAAGAAATTTGGAAATATTTGGTTGTGGCTGTCTCCATTTTCATGTGGTCCTACACTTCTTATTCCCACTGCCACAACACCCTCCCTCACTTTAATTACTTATATTGAATATCTTTGAAAGGAAGCAATACAAAAGCTGCCATATTGTCGGCATTACAAATATATATATATATATATATATATATGGGTTAGTGTTTGTCCGTCTTATCTTAAAAAAATTAAGAGGAAAAAAAAACAAAAAACACTTTAATTCATACTTTAAAAATAAAATATTTTAATTTTTTTCAATAAGTGTTTATTAACATGATGTAATTTTGAAATAATATTCTTCCTAATATTTAGGAAGTAAGGCAGATAAATACTATTCCATGTATATATATATATATCTCCCCTCTGTTTTTTTTTTCTTATTTCTTGTTTTTTTCTAAAGAAACCGTCCACATTTTGTTGCTAGTAATTATTTCAATTTCATTTTCCTTTTACTTCTTTAACAGTACTAAACTCATATGTAAATAATGAGAAATTAACAACAAAAATATATATAATTGATATGTACTTCAACTTCTCAAGTAAGAGGGTAGAAATAAATTCACCCAAAAAAAAAGAAAGAAAGTAGATTAAATTGTCTTTTTAAATTATCAATTAAAATAAATTATTCATTATTTAACATATTATGTTATCACACGTCATAAATTCATTTGTCATTTAAACATTTTTTTATGAAAAGCTAATGTGTGACACGTCACACATTAAATAATAAGTGATTTATTTTAATCAATAATTTGAAGAGATAATTTATTCTTTCGTTTTTTTTAGAGAAGGATCCGTTTCTCATTTTTTATTTAAGGGACAAATTTGAGAGTTTTACTTATGTAATATCAATTAGAATATTATTCTAAGTTGTACCCAAGTTATTGGACAAAAGCTACCCAAAAGCATTATGTTTGATTAATTCACAATGGATTTGGTGCTAGGTTTTGATCAATATATTTATTTTGCAGTGGTCCCTCGCGGTAGCACAACAGCAGCTATTAACTTTTGATCACTAAAAACAAAAACAATCACCAACTGATGATACCAAGAGATTCCATGATTTGGATTTGGATTGGAGAGAAACCTCATTTGGAACTATTATTATTATTATTATTATTCATTTTTTTTGGCCAAATAATAATTTCTTTTTCATTTTTGAGAGAAATTCCGAAATGGAGAGCAATTGTTTCATCCACAGGCCTTGTGATTGGGACATTATAAGTAGTCATCGTTGGAGTTGATAAATGACTGTGGGCTCCGTTGTCAGAAGTTGGGCCCCCAGCCGACTGACCCCCATTTAGGCCCAACCGCTCCTCGCAATATCACCCCGCATGGCCGCACCCCCACCCCAAACCCAAAGCATCGATTCTCGAGAAAACAATAATATAAATTTTATTATTTTTATTTAACAATATAAATTTTATTCTTTTGTATTTAAAAATTAATTAAAAAATAAAAAAATATTTTATATATCAATATCATTATATGATTAATTTTTAAATAAAAAATAAAAAATAATTATTTGGTTTAAAAAATAACAAAACCTATATTTTTAAATAAAAAAATAACAAAATTTATATTCTCATCCCTATTTTCTTTCATCGATTTCCTAAATTCTATTGCAGGTGCCAATGTGCCATGAGTCCATGACGCTCCTTCTATTATTTAGAACCTTTTTATCTGATGACCATCAATCAACTTCAGGCATATAGTTTCAACTTTGTCTCCACTGAGCCACTAAAGTCTAATCCTCATAGTCTTCTCTTATATAATTTGAAAGAATAATAAAATGGGTATTTTAGAAAAATTACTTTTGAGCCAAATTGTGTGATGAAGAGAAAAAGTTCAAGACACCTGTACTGTTGGGTCAACTGACTTTTGTTACTGTTGTAAATTTTTTTTTAACAATATATAATCATTTATAAGATTAATTGGGGAAGGAAGAAAAGAGATTTCATGAGATTTAAACGTGTAATATACCAGAGATGAACAATCTTAACTCATGATCCAATGTCATTGGGTCGGAGTGGGCCGTTCCACTATTGTAATTTTTTTATTTAAAGTTAGGTTAAAGTTTTCATGATATATTGTTAAAAAAAAAAAATTTAGGTTACCATTATAAATTACTGAAGTGGCAACTTTGAATTGAAAACCCAGCTATAATAATTATCATGGTTAAAGGTTGGAAACGGTCCTTGAGTCAAAAATAAGAAATTATGCATCATGCCTTTCATAAAAAGAAAATTTATAGGAAAGGGATATGAATCTATTTACGGTCATAATGCAGGTAGAATATTATACCCTGTTCATTCATCATGTGATTGCATTTTAACGTTGTGTTTTAAGGGTTTTTATAGTATGTGTCTTTAAGGGCACATGCTACAACTATATATTTTTTCATAAATATATGTAAAAATATAAAAATTAATATTAATTTTAATTTTAATAGTAAATGTTTGAATTTGTTCATTCATCATGTGATTGCATTTTAACGTTG